CTTTTTACTGAGCATTTGTTTACGAATATAGCATTCAAATACCGAATTGTTCGATTTAAAAAAGCTGTTCGAGTACCGAGGTTCCGCTGTTTATGTTTATCTATGATGCAGTAAATTCAGCAATGCAGTTTCTGGACGGGGAGATATGGATACAAGCTGCAAAATAAGCTTCTGTTGAGACAGTTTTTTGCCCTGTGTAAGTTTTATTAAAAACTTGAAGTAGCTCCACATAGACAAAAAAAAATTCCCAATAAAAGTTTGTTTTTCAATTTGTATTTTTGTCTTTGTACTAGTCAGCAGTATCCATTCACTCAACTATTTTAAGTATCTGCTAACTTGACAATTGTGTAAACACCGTAGATTAGATGCCATGAGTTTAACTTGCTCTTGTAGCTACAAATTTTTTAACCAAAGTAACAATTACAGGCCCATGATGTCTTGGCTGCGAGTGAAGGAGTTGACACAATTGACATTGCAGCTGTTAAGTACACTTGCTGAGGTGAACACTAAGATTGAACACCTTTGCTCTGTGTGTTCCATTGCTACAGGTAAGTATTTTTTAAACAACGTTTGACATTACCCCTGAAATGGCTCTATGAGTTTAGCTCTTTTTTTTTAAACAAAAATAATAATTGTAATAATAAAGTAAAAAAAATAATTCGATAATCAAGTAGTTATAATTATGCGTAATAATAATAATAATGAAAATGTTGGATACAGCCTCTCCTCACTTAGCGACGCACTCGTTTACTGATCCCTTTTGGACTTACGACGTGCTCTCTAAATCAGTATGAGTGCCTAAATAATGTATTCTAGAGCTGATTTTCTTTTGTTCTGTTTATTACAATATAAGTACACTCTGTATAAAACTTCAAAAATATACCAGAAATGTTAAAAATGTTGCTAAGGTGACATTAAAACAATATTAAAGAAGTTTACACAAACCCACTTCCATTATAGTGTGCTCCTCACTTAGCGATGAATTCATTTACCGATGTAGTCTTAGGAATGGAACCTGTCGTTAAGTGAGGAGAGGCTGTATTATATGATCATCATCTTTTTAAATGGAGGTTAACCTAACTCATGTGAAAACCTAACCTCTCTCGATTACCTAAAATCTTATCTTAAGAATAGAACCCAGTATGTGTACACAAATGGAGCTAACTCCACTACACAACCTTTTCTTGTTGGAGTCCCACAGGGAGTGTCCTTGGCCCATTTCTCTTCTCATTTACATCAATGACCTCCCCAAATGCATATAAACTCCTTAACCTTTCAGGGTCCAAGGCCAAAATCGGAAGGGTGCCATATTTGTCCAAAAAATTTTGAAAAAAAAAAAATTATCTTTTCTTAGGGAAATTTAAAAGATAAGTTTTGTGAAGGTAATAAAACAAAAAAATTTCGATCAGTACTTACCGAGATACACGGGGGGAAATTGACCCAAAATGACTGGGTGGTCGCAACATCAGTGACTTCCGCAAAATCGCATTTTTTTATTTTTACGTTTTTTTATATTTTTTCTTTTTTTTTCTAAATTTTTTCTTTTTCTAATAACATTTGTGGCCTGTGAGACCAATATAATGTATATTTATAATTTGTTTACCTGGAGTTACCTGGAGAGAGTTCCGGAGGTCAACGCCCCCGCGGCCCGGTCTGTGACCAGGCTTCCGGTGGATCAGAGCCTGATCAACCAGGCTGTTGCTGCTGGCTGCACGCAAACCAACGTACGAGCCACAGGCCGGTTTGGTCAGGAACCGACTTTGGGTGCTTGTCCAGTGCCAGCTTGAAGACTGCCGGGGGTCTGTTGGTAATCCCCTTTAAAATGTATGCGGGAGGCAGTTGAACATCTGGGGCCCCCCTGACACTTATTGTATGGTCTCTTAACGTGCTAGTGACACCCCTGCTTTTCATTGGGGGATGTTGCATCGCTGCCAAGTCTTTTGCTTTCGTAGTGAGTGATTTTCGTGTGCAAGTTCGGTACTAGCCCCCTCTAGGATTTTCCGGGTTGTATATAATCATGTATCTCTCCCCCTGCGTTCCAGGGAATACAGGTTTAGGAACCTCAAGCGCTCCCAGTAATTGAGGTGTTTTACCTCCGTTATGCGCGCCGTAAAGGGTTCTCTGTACATTTTCTAGGTCAGCAATTTCACCTGCCTTGAAAGGTGCTGTTAGTGTGCAGCAATATTCCAGTCTAGATAGAACAAGTGCCCTGAAAGTGTCATCATGGGCTTGGCATCCCTAGTTTTGAAGGTTCTCATTATCCATCCTGTCATTTTCTAGCAGATGCGATTGATACAATTTTTATGGTCCTTTAAAGTGAGATCCTCCGACATGATAACTCCCGGTCTTTGACGTTGGTGTTTCGCTCTATTTTGTGGCCAAATTTGTTTTGTACCTGATGAAAAATTTAATTTCCTCGTGTTTACCATATCTGAGTAATGAAATTTCTCATCGTTGAACTTCATATTGTTTTCTGCAGCCCACTGAAAGATTTGGTTGATGTCCGCCTGGAGCCTTGCAGTGTCTGCAATGGAAGACACTGTCATGCAGATTCGGTTCATCTGCAAAGGAAGACACGGTGCTGTGGCTGACATCCTTGTCTATGTCGGATATGAGGATGAGGAACAAGATGGGAGCGAGTACGTGCCTTTTGGAACAGAGCTTTTCAAACCCTAGGGTGCCTCGGACTTTACTCTGTTGACGACTACTCTCTGTGTTCTGTTAGTGAGGAAATTATAGAAACCATCGACCGACTTTTCCTGTTTTTCCTTTAGCATGCATTTTGTGCCTATTACGCCATGGTCACCCCTTGTCGAAGGCTTTTGCAAAGTCTGTATATATTAAAATTGGCATTCTTTTTTTCTTCTAGTGCATTTAGGGCCTTGTCGTAGTGATCCAATTTGTTGAGACAGACAGGAGTGACCTGTTCTAAACCCATGTTGCCCGGGGTTTTGTAACTGATGGGTTTTTTTAGATGGTAGTGATCTTGCTTCTTAGGACCCTTTTAAAGATTTTTTATATGGGATGTTAGTGCTATTGGTCTGTAGTTCTTTGCTGTTGCTTTACTGCCCCCTTTGTGGAGTGGGCTATGCTGTTGTTTTTAGAACGTGGGACGACCCCCGTGTCCATGCTCCCCCTCCATAGGATGGAAAAGGCTCGTGATAAGGGGCTTCTTGCAGTTCTTGATGAACACGGAGTTCCATGAGTCTGGCCCTAGGGCAGAGTGCTTTGGCATGTCATTTATCGCCTGCTCAAAGCATTTGGCGCAGGATAACATCGGATAGGCTTGTGTTAATCAAATTTTGTGGCTCATAAAAAATTCATTTTGATCTTCGACTCTCATCTGGTTAGCGGCTTGCTAAAAACTGAGTCATATTGGGACTTGAGTAGCTCACTCGTTTCCTTGCTGTCATCTGTGTAGGACCCATCTTGTTTAAGTAGGGGCCCAATACTGGACGTTGTTCTCGACTTTGATCTGGCATAGGAGAGAAATACTTTGGGTTTCTTTCGATTTCTTTTATGGCTTTTAGTTTTTCCCGTGATTCCTGATTCCTATAAGATTCCTTTAGCTTAAGTTCGAAGTTTGGGCTATTTCTCTGACCAGTGTCTCCCTACGCTTTCAGATATATTGACCTCTTTTAGCCGCTCTATTATTCTTTTCCGTCGCCTGTAAAGGGAGCGCCTGTCTCTTCTATTTTACATCTACCCTCCTTTTCTTAGAGGAATAAGCCTTGTGCATACATCGAGTGCCACCAGTTAATCTGTTCTAGGCATAAGTTGGGGTCTGTGTTGCTTAGTATATTTTCCCCAGCTTATATCGGTTAGGATTTGGGTTTTACTTGGTCCCATTTTTATGTTTTTGTTATTGAAGTTGAATGTGGTGAATGCTCCCTTGTGACTAACCATTATGTTCGTCTGGGGCTCCACGCATACATGTCTGAACCTCAATTATGTTGTGATCTGAGTATATTGTTTTGATATGGTGACATTTCTTATCAGATCATCATTGTTAGTGAAGATGAGGTCTGGGTGAAATTCTCCAGTCTAGTAGGCTCTATTATTTGCCGGTTTAAATTAAATTTTTGTGCAGAGATTTAAAAGCTCGTGTGAGTGTGAGTTTCATCAGAGCTGCCTCCTGGTGTTTATTACTGAAAACAATATTATTTGCTATATTCCTCCATTTTAGGTGCCTTAAGTTGAAATCCCCCAGAGAAAGATGTTGGGTGCAGGAGCTGGAAGATTTTCCAGACAGTGGTCAATTTTTTAACAGCTGTTCCGGGAATTGCTGGGAGTTGCATCCGGAGGCTTGTAGACTACCACAATGACTAGGTTTTGGTTCTCGACCTTACTGCTGAAACTTCCACTTCATCATTTGAGGCATTAAGCAGTTCTGTGCAAACAAGTGACTCTGCAATGTACAGGCCAAACCCCCCCCCCCCTTTTGCCTGTTCACTCTGTCACATCTGTATAGGTTGTAACCTGGGATCCATATTCGTTGTCCAAGTGATCCTTTATGTGGGTCTCAGGAAAGCCGCGAACATTGCCTTTGCCTCTGCAAGCAGTCCACGGATGAAAGGTATTTTTGTTTTTTTGTTGCTGGCTTTAGACCCCGTATATTGCAAAGAAAGAATGTCATCGGGCTGGTGGTATTGTTGGTACTGGGGGGGGGGGATTTTTTTCCCGGCATTTTGTATCTGTATCTGTTGGTTTGGAGTGGGGGCCATCGACTGTGGTTCCACTCCAGGAATGACTGGATTTGGTGTACGATTTCTGCCATTTCCCTGCCAGTTTTTTTTCCTTCCTGGCACTAAAAAACCTCTCCCCTCTTGAGTGGCTGTGGCTACCCAGGTTTTTCCCATGGCCTGGATGTTTTGTATCTTTTTTGTCCCCTTTAGAGGTGTGCCCGGCAATTTAAGTTATAGCACAGTCTTTCCTGTACTGAAGAGGTACACAGTTCAGGGTGAAAAAGCTTACAGGAAGGGGTTTGCATTTTCCTGTGTTCATATGGGCATGGCATTTTCTAGGGTGGTCATAGTTACATGTCCCATCTGTTTTTTCCAGATTTCCCAGCCTGCAGATACCAAGTGCATAGTATGTGCACAGGCTTGGTTTCCATTTGCCTTGGGTTTCTGTGACTGTATTCCCTGTTGGTGCATGTTTCCTGTCTTATTCCTATCCTCCCTAGCACCAACAATGGGGCTCCCACCAGTTGTTTTTGGTAATATATCCTCACTATTGCTAGTGGAGTCCTCTTGTTTGCTATTTCCTGTGGGATTTCTAGTTTGCAATATTGGTTTTAAACTTATCTTTGACTACACTTGTTTCCCTACTACGACTCCTGTCCCCTATGAGGTCATTTATATGTATTCCTTCCTGGTAAAATTCCCGACTACCTGGACAAAATCTCCAGCTTCTCCATTAACTGTCTCCCAGGACGCACCTCCAGCTTCACCATTACTGTCTCCCTGGACAGCACCTCCAGCTTCACCATTACTGTTTCCCAGGACAGTGCTATCAGCCCCACATTTTACTGACTACCAGGACATCA